TGATGACGATGATGATGATGATGATGATGATGATAATGATGCTGCTGATGACGATGCTGATAATGACGACGAGGATGCTGATGCTGATGATGAGGACGAGAAGGAGAAAGAGGCGGAGTAGGATAAGGGAAAGGAGGAGACGGAGGACGAGAGTGATAACGACGTTCGGAGTTTCTTTGATGCCGTTGGAGGCGTGGAATGGATTGAGCAGGAAGAGGTGGGACCATGAGGACGATGATGCGGATGTTAGTGATGATGCTGATGCAGATGACGACGATGAGGATAGTTGTGGCAACGGTGCTGGCGATGATGTCAGCGGTACTTTTGAGTTGGATTTGGTGCTCGTAGCCATGACGGTGATGACTGTGATAAAGGTGATGACGGTGCTGACGGTGATTCTGATGCTGCTGATGACGATGATGATGGTTGTGGTGGTGCTGGTGATGGTGATGGCGATGATGACGATGATAATGATGATGAGGATGACGATGATGGTGATGATGCTGATTATGCTGATGCTGCCGATGATGATGATGATGATGATGATGATGATGATGATGATCACGATGATGCTGTTGATGATGAAGATGATGTAGCGATGACCATGGATCTGATGATGATGCTGAAGCTGATGCTGCTGATCACGATGATGACGATGACGATTACAATGATGATGCACGTGATGATGGTGATGCTGATGATGACGATGATGCTGATGCTGATGATAATGATGATGACGATGCTGATCACCACAATGATGAGACAATGATGATGTTGCTAGTAATGATGATGATGATGATGATGATGATGATGATGATGATGATGATGATGAATTATGATGATGATGATGATGATGATGATGATGATGATGATGCTGCTGATGATGATCATGATGATGACTATACTGATGATGATATGATGATGATGATGCTGACCATGACACTGCTGATGCTGCTGCTGATGATGATGTTGATGACTGCGGCGATTCTGATGCTCATTTTGATGATGATGCTGATGACGATATTGATGATGCTGGCAATGCTGCTGCTGATGTTGTTGATTATGTGGGCGATGATGGCGATGATGATTGAGATGATGCTGATGCTGATGATGACGATGATGCCGATGATGAGCACTATGATGATTATGATGATGATGATGATGATCATGAGGATGATGATGATGATGATGATGATGATGATGATGATGGTGATGATGATGATGATGATGATGCTGATGATGATGAGGATGACGATGACGCTGATGATGACGCTGATGATGATGCTGATGATGATGATGATGATGATGATGCTGATGATGCTGATGATGCTGCTGATGATGATGGTGACGACCTGGAGGAGGAAGAAGAGGAGACTGATGACGCGAATGATGAGTATTTCGGTGGTTGTCGGATGCTCGTAGGCATGGAAGGCGGAGTTGGTTAGACTGGGGGCGGGGGGTGGGGGGCGGATGCGTGGAAGAGGAACGAGCAGGAGAAGGAGGACCAGTATGACGAGGATGTTGATGTGCGTGATGGTGCTGGTTATGATGGCGACGACGGGGATGATTCTGATGATGGCGCTGGCGATGATGCCGGCGGTGGTTGCTAATCTGATTTCGATGTGCGCAGCGATGATGATGATGCCAGTGATGACGATGCTGATGCTGCTGCTGCTGATGATGCTGATGCTGATGCTGATGCTGATGATGATGATGATGATGATGATGATGATGATGATGCTGATGCTACTGATGCCGCTGCTGATGATGAGGATGAGGAGGAGGATGAGGAGGAGACGGATGACGAGAATGAGAAGTACGCGTCTTCTGATTTGCGAGGTGTGCTCTTGGACAGAGGGGGCGGGGAGTTGAGTGGACTGGGGAGGCGGCGGTGGCCTGGAAGGGGAATAACTAGGAGACGCATGACCAGGACGACGATGTTGTGGATGCTAGCTATGCGGCTCATGCTGCTGGCGACGACGATCATGCGTGTGACGACGGTGCTGGTGATGCTGATGGTGGCGGTTGTTAGTTGGATTCGTGTGCTCGTACTGGTACTGATGACGGTGGTGGTGGTGTTGGTAGTGATGATACTGGTGATGATGATGATGATGATGATGATGATGATGATGATGATGATGATGATGGTGATGCTGATGATGATGATGATGATGATGATGATGTTGCTGCTGCTGATGATGATGCTGATGGTGACGATGATGATGATAAGGATACATCTGTTGCTGCTGATGGTTATGATGAAGAAGATGCCGATGGTGATGGCGATGATGATGTTGAGGATGATGCTGATGATGGTGACGATGGTGATGAGGCGGAGGATGAGGAAGAGGCGTATGCGGAAGAGGAGGAGGCGGAGGACGAGACTGAGAAGGAAGAGAATTTCGGTGGTTGCCTGATGCTCTTGTGGGTTGGGGGGGGGGGGGGGGACGAGGGTAGGTTTTGATTGGGGTAGACGGCGGGGGCGTGGAAGGGGACGGCG